CAATAAACAACAATAGAAAGCATACCCTGCCTCCTTCCCTCGAGGACTCGAGGCAAGACATTCAAAAATTGGCTAAATTGATCTAATTGGTTTGATGATCAAGGATAACTCTGTTTTATAGATCAGCTTTGAAAAGGGGGGGGCCTGGGGCACCACCTTGTACCCATAGAAAACCTACCCGGATAAGAGATTTGCAGAATTTTGTTCAGAAAGATGTAGCTATGGGTCAAAACCCTGGTGTTCTATTTCGCGCGCTCTATTTAATAGCGGCTGAAACAGATGTTCATCCCAAACAATATCTTCTTTTTGTAGGTCTTGACTTGCCATGTTTGATAAGTTTTGACTCGTGTGCATTGATGTTCCCCCATTTGTCGTGTTGAATTGCCAAAGTCTCAATGACAAACCATGTTCATTGGCTGAAAAGCATACCCTTATGACCTTGTCAATGCTTCAGCTACCCTCCGGTAATCTCTTTTTGGCCATGAAAAAAATCATGGAACATGGCCATAGTATGCCATTTTTGTTTGTGTGAACCATCTACACACGGGTAAAGCATTGTAAAACTCAATGGCTATGGCGGCTATGTGGTACATAATTGGGAATTTAGTGGGATTTCATGGGGATTTCAAATGATTTGACCTCCAGTAATCAGCTCCATGGCTAGGAAAATCCGCCATCAATCGATGATATCCAGCGGCACGCCACGTTTGACACCAGAGCGTACAAACCAATATTTCATGAGTATCACAGATTGTTTAGCCCCTCAAATCCCAAATCCTGAATAAAATTCCCATTGAATCCTAAGCTGACAATACCCATGACTACCTCAAGTGTCGGAGATTGGATCATGCGCTTCAGCTTGTGCTTGCACTTCTCCTGCAGGTGATCCATGGAATGGAAATCTCCTATACATGGAGGTCTTCAGGGGAAACTCAACTGTAAAACTTTGTAGTTCGAGGATATCACTTATGGGACCCATATGGACCCATAGACCCATATGGACCCATATGGACCCATAGCCTCAAGGACTCGAGTTTTATGATCTTTCGCATTCCCGACCTGGATTTATTGGAAATCAAATTCTTTGACACACCACCTGAGGCGGGTCCCTTCACACCCTTCAACACCAGTGCCAGCCAGGATTCCCACGAGGTCATTGGAATGATCTGGAGAACTCACAGCGCTTCGAACTGGAAAACTACCATTCTAAAGAAACAAAACATCAAATCACATATCATAGCTATGTATATTATTATGTATCATATCATATATATATATATATATCAAAGCTATGCCTAGATATGATGAATGAGTCATCTAATCATAGCTATGTAAAAGTTGACGTGCAACTGCTGTTGTGTTTTCACACCCATGGCATCCTCCTTGGCATCTGGGTTCAGCAGGTCAATGTCCATGGCTGGGGTGGCCGACACCTCATCAGGAGCGAGCCATGATACCCCGCTGGGCCCCATCCTACTGGGCCCCAACGATTCCTTGTCATAATCTATTGCGGACTATAAGAGTCCACTAGAAAAATCTAGAAAAAACATCATTGATCCAAAAGCCATGTTCTCTAACTACTTTTTTAAATACCTTGTCACCCGAAACAGGACCATGAAATTCACCAATCAACACGTGTCGACCTTCACGAGGATCGTCCGTCGGGGGCCCATATCGTATCAATCCTGGTATCCTGTTGGGATGATAAGGGCTTCTGCAAGGTGCTGAACTATATGTTAATATATGTCTATTAATATATGTTAAGATATGATCTTAGATGATGAATTGCAGAGTCAACTAATGTCAACTACAGTTGTCCTGGTCTTAACTGATTGATTGTGCTCTCTTCCTGCTTAGCTTGTTTTTTTGTTTCCCTTTTTTCTTCTGGCTGGCAAGCCCAACCTATTCAAAACAGGTTCACACATGGGTGATCATGGGTGTGTGATAAACCTACTGAAAAAGGACTTGGAAACCACCCAAAAAAACAGCCAGATTCACGCCTAGTTGTTTTATGTAATTACCTCAGGGTATGTTTGCATTCTCGATGGCTGAGCTGGTAACCGAAAATTCCCCTCAAAGGAAAATCTTGCCATCTTTGTCAACCAAATCCATCATGTCGCTCCTGCGGCTGTGAAACTCATCGTATATAGCTGCTTGGCTCCCAAAGTAAAAAGGAGTATTGGATGCCTATAGCTCCGAATCGCTACCTCCAAACCACTGACCACTGGCCATCTCCCACAAAACCGAGTTGCAGCGCTGCAAGACAGCGCGGCACACGCGGTACTGGACCCGCTAAGCCAAACAAAGCGGGCGCGCTGGTGGCATACAACGAAACGCCCGTGCTGCACAGCATTCCGAACGTGTAAGGTCAGGGGCCAATGGCATCTCTTTGAGCATATCAAAGAGAGACTTTGACCTATGCCTATGTAATCCTATGCGCATTGTACTTTTTAAATCGATTGGGAAGAAAACATCACCAACCGGCTAAAGTCCACCTTCTCGCAATCAAAGCTGGCAGCGAAAATGTCCGCCATCGATTGCATCTATATTTTACATCGTTCTGAATCCATTCGCGAGTGGGTTGGAATTTAGGATGCCCAATGGTAATGTTGAAGCACATGACCAAATGGTGTACGTCCATGGCCCTTAAGTATTGACATTGACAAATACCAATTTTAGATGCTCTGCAAAAATATTAGCTGGTTAGCAAATACCACCAGCCAAACCGCAAAAGATTGAAGTGCTGAAGTATTCATCCAAGGTTGACCCAAATATCATATATCCATATATATCCATGAAAACATATGGGGGGCCATGGGAATGGGGGTTACCATCAGCCAGGTCCCTACAAATGCCATGGAAATGGTCGTGAAACCCAGTGGTTCATGCACTGGACTGCGCCTGCCCTTCACGCAGGACCAATTCCCAGTTGCCCAGCAAGCGCAACTGCCTGGAAGGAGCGAGAAAAGGGGTACTGTTAATTTCAACAGTTTGCCATCAACATGTGGCCATTGAGTTCATGTTGATTACCCGTTTTGAAATGGTGATTTTCCAGTTCGCAAATTGTTCGTTTACCAGAGAGCATATAGGATATTCTTCCCAGACGAAGCGCAGCTCAGCTCATCCAGGGGAGCCCCGTAACATTCCACGTTGCATGGAACTCGTGAGGATTCCCCAAGATATCAAGGACCGTATGATTTAATGAAGGGAAATATACAGATTTCCAGTTGCTGTGGATTATGGTTATCCATATATAAAAGGATGATATAATCTCTTACATGTATATAGCCAACACATGGCTGTGACAACTGAAGATGTGGTCGACTCAGCGACTCGACGTTGACGACAACGAGATGAATTTGGATTTTCCTGAAGGCCAACATATATAATATAATATAATAAAATGAAATATAACATAATATAATATAATGTAATATAATATAAAATAATAAAATATAACATAATATAATATAAGATAAGATATTGAAAATGATATAATATATTATAATATATTATTATATTATATTACATTATAAAAATATTATATAATATAATATTATGAAATTTAATATTATATAATATAATATAATAAAATAAAATATTATATTATATAATAAAATATAATATTATATAATCTAATATTATATTATATTATATTATATTATATTATATTATATATATATCATGTTTTTCACCACCTGCCAGGTGAGGGTTGTTAGATTTTATGTCAGTTGCTTCCTCCTCGTCCTCCTCGTCCTCGTCCTCCTCCTTCTCCTCCCTCTTCTCGTCCTCCTTCTCCTCCTCCTCCTCGTCCTCCTCGTCCTCCTCCTGCTCCACTGCGATCCATGTCAGTGTGCCCTTCCGGACCTCAACCATGTCCATCCACGTCAGTGTGCCCTGCCGGACCTCAACCACGACCATCCACGCCCAGTGTTCCCTGCCGGACCTCAACCACGACCATCCACGCCCAGTGTTCCCTGCCGGACCTCAACCACGACCATCCACGCCCAGAGTTCCCTGCCGGACCTCAACCACGACCATCCACGCCCAGTGTTCCCTGCCGGACCTCAACCGCGAGGATCCATGCCAAGTGTTCCCTGCCGGACCTCAACCGCGAGTATCCACGCCAAGTGTTCCCTGCCGGACCTCATGTAGGAAGATATGGGACAAAGAATGTGCAGAAGAAAGTTAGAAAGAATGTCAGAAAGAATGTCAGAAGATATGCCAGAAGATATGCCAGATAGAATGCCAGAAGATATGTCAGAATATATGCCAGAAGAAATGCCAGATAGAATGCCAGATAATATGCCAGAAGATATGCCAGATAGAATGCCAGAAGATTTGCCAGATAGAATGCCAGAAAATATGCCAGAAGATATGCCAGATAGATATGCCAGAAGATATGCCAGAAGATATGTCAGAATAATGGCCAGAAGATATGTCAGATAGAATGCCAGAAGATATGTCAGAAGATATGCCAGAAGATATGCCAGATAGAATGCCAGATTGAATGCCAGAAGATATGTCAGATAGAGTGCCAGAAGATATGCCAGATAGAATGCCAGAAGATTTGCCAGAAGATATGCCAGAAGATATGCCAGATCATATGCCAGAAGATATGCCAGATAGAATGTCAAATAGAATGTCAGAAGATATGTCAGATAGAATGCCAGAAGATTTGCCAGTAAGAAAATGTATAAATGTCATGGTGGGGATCACACGAAGTAAAGTAATTATCTTGTGTTTTGTTTTTTGTTTGTTTAACGATCTTTCTTATGTTTCAGTCTCCTATTCGCAGTACGTTGAATCTTAAATGTTTTGGGAATTATATATTTGCAGCAGCAGAATTCTCTAGCTAACGCATCAAATTTCCAGGGTTTTTTCAGCATGTTGATGCATTTTGCACATTTTTGGACCTCCAATCTCTTTCATTTGCACGCTCAGCTGCACAGATGTCATGTCGTTCCTTGTCCGAACGTCCCATAGTCATGAGTCATCAGTTCCAGTTCTTCCACGATTGTGGTTGACCAGCTTCGCCCATCCAAACCAATGTGGCCGGATCACAATCGCGGCCATGTGCTAACCGGCAAAAGAAAACATCAAAGATGAGGTAATTTTCACGTCCCTGCTGGAGCACCCCAAGCACCATTCCCAAAAGGATGAGGTATCCGAGCGCCACAAATATCACAAATCAAGGCCTTAAACACCAGCAATGGCATTCCCAGTTGGGTAAATGCCCATCCCAAGGCATTACATCGCAACATCTTGGTTTAGCATTTGAACAGCCCGAGCATTTTATCCTCCTATGCGTCAAAAATCAAACTATGAAACTATAGTGTACATTATATACTGTAGCCTTCTTCATGTTTCACTTGCCAGGAATGAGAAGAACAACAAGGCAACCGGTTGACTCGCCGCCCTTGTAAGGGTGACAAATTTGAAATTGAGATTTTCGAGGCTAAGAGACAAAATGCTGGTATTTGTGGGACTTGTCAAAAAAAACTTGCAACATGGACATTCATTTCGATTGGCAGGCGTGTGACTCAAGTGTCAAAATTTGTGTTTCGCCTGCGCGGTGAATCGATTTTGTTCTTCGAGGGCTACAAACATTGGAAATTTATGATTTTCACTGATTTTCAGTTATCCCATGCAAACATCCACCCATGCATCCATGCCTTTTCTCTTCTCGAAGTCTCAGTGCCAAAGTGCTTTCGGCAACGCCATGGCCACAGACTCCAACAAGGCGAACCAAGGCGACATTATGACGCCATGTCCAACATGTTAACAACGGCAAGAAGTTCCATGGGCCATGCATAATACTCCTCAAGAATGCTATCATCCCCCCGGCCCCCTGATGACCGTAAAAGAGCATGTGCAACATGTTGAACAAAGCCGAAATTTAAATCCTGAACCCCCATTTTCGCAAACTTATTTTTTCATTTTTGACACATCTCAAAATAAGCAACCCTTCCAGGGGCGGCGTATCAGCCGCATGTCAACAACAACTGTTGGTGAATGGGTGGGACCCGTGCTCTTCACCAGTCAGGTCCCCCAGTGAATTTTCAATCACTGTTGGTCTACATAATTCTGCATGCCCTAGCTTTGATGGTTTGTACTATATTATACTATATTATGTCGATGAAATACACATAAATACAGATTAGCATGATGCAAGAAAAATGAAAAACATACATGCATAACTAATTAACTACAACTTAACACACCATAGAAACTATTTAATGACTGTAATCATTTTAAAGTTTAGTACCATATAATATATTTCTGGAATAAATGATAACCTTAATTGATATAACTTAAAATAATCTAAATATAACACAATTCCCTCACTCCGCCCTCGCTTCGCCCTCCGCCCTGCGGACCGGACCTCTGCGCTTCGGCGGGGTTGGAGGCATAGGCCACGTTGCATCCCAAGGGAAGGCAATCTGCCAAGTCGTCTAACACCGCAGCCTGGGATCTGTTGGAACATGTCGGACAACCAGCATATATATATATATATATATGGCATACATATAGAGATCGACATTTAATATATAAATAAACGCATAAAATTAAAGAATCTCTCTTTATAAACAAATAAATAAATATATAGGTACCCGCCTACCTCCCCCAGAAAACGTACCTACATAATCCTATACATATATATGTTAATATATAGTATATAGTATAGCGATTTAAGTAGGTCATATTCCCATATTTTTATAATCCAAAATGGATAAACTATGGCCTATGGAGCTCACCGGATTATGGCACCAGGTGGGGCCGGTCACGATCGCCAAAAGACATGCTGTAACCGGACAAAAGTTGGGATGATTTGCTAGAACCAAGACCAGCGCCTGATTAATTGGATATGATGTAAGTTGTAAGTATGTTCATACGTTGGGTTTTGTAAGGTTTGTTACAACCCCAAAAGTACTAATCGATGATAACTGGCTGCTAAAACGGCACCAGCTTTTTCAAAAGCAAGGGGGGGGGTTACGAAGCGGGGTTTGACACTATAATCCAATTAGACATGTATGGTTCCCACCCAAAAATGGCAAGACATCCCCAGCGGACCTCAACCCTGGCTGGCTATGTCTCCAAGACCAAGAAAATCGCAGGCTAATATAAAAGACCCTCCACCAAACAGTATAAACGGTTTCTGATGTTTTCTCTGAAATCCAGCAAACGTTGGCACTGGTTCAAGGTAGAATCGGTTTGGGCTGTCCAAAGGTTGATCCCCTGGGATTTGGACAAATCCATGCCGATATTGGCTAAATATGGCTATATAAATTGGCTAAATCCCATTAATATATTGTCAATTCTTGAAAGCCGACAATTAACCATCTTTGACATTGTTTCATATGTGTTCACATTGTTTCACCATCTTTGACAATTAACCATCCTTTTGGACGGCGAAAATCTGCTTCCACCACAGTCAACCCATCGTACTTGGATGTACATCCCACGAATCAAAAGTGGTTTATAATTCAAATATAACCAATACTTATTCCATATAATCCAGTGGGGGCATTCCATTCATCTAACTGTTTGTTTTTACCCAACATACTAAGTTTCAGGGGGCCCGCACCCCCAAATGGATTCTACCCCCAGATATATATGGAATACCCTCACTGGATATATAGAATGAAATATGGCTGATAGAATATTTCACTGAGCTGAAATAAAGTTATTTTGGGATCGTGCAGTAAGCCCTACAAAGTGGTTGGTTTTGGTTTACAGCAATTGCAAGCAACTTGTAACCTAGTTGTAAGGTAGTTGCAACCCTAGTGTATCTAAGCTAAGTAAGCTAAGTTTTTATCTTATTTTACGGTAGTTGTAAGTAGTTACCAAAGATAAACTAGATGGTAAGTTTTTTAAGTTTTTTTTGAGCAATCAAAAACAACTTAAATAACTTACAAGTAACTTAGGAAACTTATTTTTTTTTGGATTTTTAAAGCTATTATTTTTTTTGTGTTGGAATAAAAACATATAAAAAAAACAAGGTTTGGGTTGGAAACGAATTAAAACCATATTTTTTTTTTGATATTTTTGTCGGAAGGCGGCTCTATGAGAAGCCTATCGGGAAAAGTTTTGTGATTCTGAGTCTTTTTGTTGATATGTTATCCTCTTCTCGTTTGGACAACAGGATGGATACGAAGTAAAAAGCGTTTGGCTCTTGGAAAGATCATGAGGCCACAGCCCCTGTGAGGTGTGTAAAAAGCCTTTTCGATACAATTGGAGGTTATGGCGGTCCATTGGACCGCCTGTACATCAAGGGTATTTATACATTTTTGGGGCTACATGAAGAAACACAAAGCAGCTGCACATGTTTTCCAACATGTTGGCGGTCCATTGGACCGCCTTTACGGAATTATGTTTTAGTGGAAGTGGAAATGTTTAAAATTGATGATTACATATATTTGTTTCATGTTCAGTTTTGGTTCAGCATATGATATTTTTCAAAAAAACAAAATACAAAACACATTTTTACACATTTTTACACATGTGTAAGTGGATTTTTGTTGGGTTTACACATGTGTAAGTGGATTTTTTTGGGGGTTACACATGTGTAAGTGGATTTTTGGGTTTACACATGTGTAAGTGGATTTTTTTGACTTACACATTCTTACACATCCCTACACATCCATACGCATTCAGGTATATTGTAGTCTTTTTGGTTCACGTTTTCGTACAATGACATCATATGATATGCTTAATTCAAATCCTTCAAAATGACTGCGGTGCAATGGACTGCATATCTTCTTGCATTTCCTGCAATGAACTTACGCGTGATAAGCATGTCTATTGATTCAAAAGTGCGGCCCACTGGATCGCATACCTATATAATTCTCTGGTCAATCAAAAACATATTGTTGCGATTTATGTTTCATCAAGGGAAGTAGCGGCTACCGACAACTCCTGTTCAGTTGTACCACGAACCATGAAACCAAACCGAATTTGAATAGCACGTCGCGCGCCTTTGGTCATCCGTGGATGTTCTATCCTGCGGCCCTTTGGGCAGCAACTCTCTCATTTTATGTTTTTTCCAAATTAAGATTGTCCAACCCAAAGTTTAAAAACATCATCAAATTTTCAAGTGCATCAAAGAAATTCGAAGAAAACTTACGAAACAAAGGTTTCTTCAACACAAAAAATAAAAATGCAAAACGCAATGATGAAGAAAAAAATGCTAAAATACATTTCTTTTCATATTCAAAATAACTTAAAATAACTTACAAAACTTGCAAGTTACTTATATTTAACTTATGTTACTTAGAGCTACAATTAAACAATTAAGTTTCCTAAGTTAACTTGTAAGTTGTATAAGTAGGCCAAGTGCCATAAGTAATTTACATGTATTCTATCTCAAAACCATCCACTTTGTACTAAGCAACATTTCAGTGAGGGAGGACAGTGAGGTCGTTATAATTCATCCTTTTGCTGGTAGCAAAGAGTCGGGGCCCGACCCGCAGGTGCGTTATAATTCCTCCAGATATATCCCCATTGTATCCCATTATATCCCCATGATATCCCAATATATCCCTATTTTACCACCATTTCTGTTGGTTAAAATCATTAGTTTTCCCATGTTTTCCCTATGGTTTATTGAACTATATTGAATCCCAATAATAGTTCATAGTTCAATAAGCTTTGTTTGGATAAAATCGCATTATATCATATTATATCCATATCGTATCCCCATTGTTTACCACCATTTCCTGGTTGGTGGTTTGAACCCCTCTGAAAAATATGAATTCGTCAGTTGGGATCATTATTCCCAACATATGGAAAGTCATAATCCAGTCATGTTCCAGTCACCACCAACATCCACCAACCAGTTTCTGTGTAAATCATCATTTTTCCATATGGTTTCCTATGCCGCGATGCCGAAAAAACGCCGAGAAAAAACCGGGCAAAAACGGGCACCTCCACTTTGCTGCAGCGCTGGTGCTCCCGCAAGACGCGCTCGGGATCCACCGCGGCGGCATTGCGACTCGGCGGCGCGCTAGCCGTGAGCAAACGTTGGTTATAGTTATATGTTACTGTTGGTTTAATATGTTTAATGGTGAGGAACTAGGGTTTTTGATAGTTAGTGTTGGTATAACTAGGGTAACTAGGGTTTATGATGTGAAAAATGGTGTGAAACATGGTGTTTAGTGATGGTTCATGGTGTTCTATGGTGATTTAATGGAGATTTAATCGGCTTTTATTATAAGATGATTTACCCTCTGGGAATTTGCTACATCCCCCCAAGAACCTTTAGAAATGGTGTTTGGCCCTACAATTTTAGTACCTTTATCATTTTGGATATTTGGAAGGCCTAGGTAGCTATATTATATGGTATAGATGACACATTTAGATCCATTTAGCTCGTTGGTCGACCTATCAAACAGGGAAATGGTTACTAGCAAACTCTTAAATACCTGAAATTACCAAAGGGTGACCCCAACACTTAGGAACTTAGGAGGCTATAAACTAACCCCAATCAACTTACGATAGATTTTTATTGGCGAAGTATTGGGATCTGTGATGTTTTCAATGGGCTACCTTGGGGTGCCCAAAATGTGCCGCATAGGATTTCGATCGATACGGCAGCCGATGGCAGCCGGAACTTGGGTCAACCCGCCACCCAAATGCATCCAACTTGAGACACAAAATGCCTCTGGCCACGATAAAAAAAACTTGTCAAAAAAAAACATTTCAAAAGGGTTCCTTAAAGGATTATATATGTTATATAGTGTTGATACATGTTGATACCATTTAATACCATTTACACATTCTCAGTGAGGGAACACCCAGGAAATCAAGCACACCTGCGTTTCACACGTCACCATCCAGGTCGCTTGAGCAGGGCCTTTAAACCAACTGCCAGCAGAAAATCGCAGGCTGAAAGGATCAGCATGCAGCCCAAAAAGGCGGCAGCTCGATGCATTCGCTGAACAACGACCACCTGGGTAAGACCATAACATATGGGAATCATTGCAATAGGAGAAAACATGAAAAACAAGGTCATTATATTCTTGAGGACCTCTAAGCAAAGACTTCGAGGTCGCGCTCGCATCATTCGGCAAAAACACAGGACCAATTCTTTTGTAGCTGGACCAGCCAGCAGCCAAATCGCAAGGCCTTCGAGCAGCACAGCTGCTGGGGGACCCCAAATCTTCCAGTCTGAAATGGATGAAATGGAAGCCCAGCTGGAGGAGATGTCCAGGAAAAGCCACATGCTCGGGGCAGTTACTCCAAGAAGCCATGGTGTCCTGAAAACTTTTTCATTAAGGTCATGGTTCAAAATCTCCAGAATCTCTGAACGAACGGTGTCCTCGAAAGCTTGCTCGCTGCCAAACCAAATCTTCACACATTCCTTCAAAATCTTGCGGTCGCATGGCGTCGCCTCACCCCAAGGTCCACATGGCCAAGGGCACAGCATGAACAGTGGGCTGTACTGAAAGAGATGGACAGTAACTGCTGTCTCATGGTGTCCAAGTCTCTGAAATACTTTCGCAGAGTGCTCACGCAGGGGTATGAACCTGCTAGACTGATGGGAGCTATTGGGATGGCAATTGCTCCTAGCGACTGATGTGAGACCAGTATGCCAGGCAACATAGCGACAAACATGGCCAAGAAAAGCACCATCGAAACTGGGCCAAGAAAGATAGGTCTAATGATCAAAGTCTTGTTTTGTGCCTTTTTGCTCTGCAAGAAGGCTGCAAGCTCGAAGCGGCACCACAACCGCTCAGTCCATGTCGGATCCCAAAGGATGAGCAGTTTGTCGGACTTTTGAAGCATCCCAGCCAGGCTAAAGATGGCCTGACCTTTCAAGTTGCCAACTTGGCTGATGCAAATTCGATCTAAAAAGACTTCAGTCTGCGGTCGCCAAAAAATCGTCACCAAAGAGGTGACAATACACCCTGAACAAAGGGACCAGCATGACCATTTGACCTGCAAATTCCCAAATGGGCGCTCTAAGCCAGGGAGCAGCCCAAACAAAAAGAGCAGCATCACCAGAAGACTCGCCAGGAAACCCAAGGATACAGCGGCCGTGCCATTGTAGAAGATGACGAGGGTAAGGAGTTTTCTCCAATGCCCTCCACGCCAAGAGTGGCTCCAAAAAGTTGATATCTTATGGCTCTCGCGACTCTTGTGGTAAAAAGATCCGCGCTGTCGAGGGCGCAATGCTGCACCGAATTGTTGGAACGCCTGAAATGCCGGCGTCACTCTCAGACTTCTGGATTAATCACCTCCATACGTGCAATGCTGTGGGCCATGTGCTTCATAACTGCCTTGATCTGCAGGTCTGTTTCATCCGTTCCTGTCACAATCATCTCATTTTCGGCTTCACTGGCTTCACTGCCTTCCTGCTGACCCGTGGTGTCCCAGTGGCGCAGGCTACTGCTATCACTGCTATCCATGGCAATTTCGATGGCATCCCGCTCCCGGGGCACTGAACTCTCGCAAGCATCATTTAGCTCGCTGAGGTCGACGGGCACATTAGCAGTCATCTTTCCTGGAATGCATTGGAAAATGTTACAGGCAAGTATGAGATATTGAAAATTATTGAAATCTTGAGCCAAAAGCACTTCAGGCAAAGAAATCTTATTTCACGTTTGAATAATGCGCAGGATACTTCAAATGTGAAGTGGTTTCATGCGATCCGCGCGTTGGCGCATTCATGGCCATGGGGATCTCCGCCCAAATGCAAAGACGCATGGTGCCTTTCATAGATATCATGGGATATCCATGGGACTTGTGGGGATATAATGCGGATATAATTTAATAGGATAAAACAACAACACACGTGGGATACCGCTATCATGTGGGAAGCTCAAGTCGTCCAACTGGCCCATGGCTTCGTCCCAAAGAGGTGAGGGTTTAGGGGAACCATTTGGTTAGTCATAGTTCATGTCCACTTCAACAAACCTTCATTCTCATTCAGAGTTTCTTACACTTGAGGCCCCAAACAAATATTGTTCCGTATTGAATAAATCGATAATTTTTGTTTTTTGGGGTTCCACTTTGTCAGAACCATCAAAACCAACCATATTATATAAGTACTTTCTTGTAACCTAACATAGCTACGGAAAATGGACCATTTATAATCATTTAAACATGATTTACCTGTTCAATTTTGGTGATCTTCCACCTCGGTTAGCCTACTGGATGGCATACGATAGACCATACAAATATGACATGTCCATTCTATCCGAAAATTCCCATCTGTGCCGAGACCCCGACTGTTCCAGAAGCAGGTAATAGAAACCCACCGACATCTCAGACACCTGCAAGGTTTCAGAGCCGAACTTTTCTAGCATGGCGAACCTGTTGTTTTTAAGCATCCCCTGAAGGAAAAGAAAACGTACAGTACTCAGTATAATATACAATAACGTACGGAAGAAAACAAAAATCCTACCGAAATCTTGGAAGATTACTTCTCCATCCACACAGAATATCAGTGTCTTGGGATGAGCCATTCACCAACCAGTTTTCATGGAATCAGGGCATTGATGGCTAAAACCTACCCTCCGGTCATCAAACAATGGCTGGAAGATCCCGTTTTTGAGTGGGCATTTGAATGGAGAAAACATCTATAAAGAGGGGATTTTCCAGCAAACCATATGCGACTACCAGAGGGAATCCATGTGGGACTGGTGTGTGTTTTTTCGTTCGGCGAGGATTGAACCATGACATTTCATCTGTGGGAATTGCTTGTCTCTATTCAATATTATAAAATATTGATATCTGCGAATATTACCAAAACTAAACTAAAGGATGATGAAAAACTGTCTGATGCTGCATAATGCGGTCCATGTATATTCATATCAATAGCAGTTTTATTTTTTGTTTGCCTCCTTGCAAGGTTATATGGAACTTCCCAAAAAGAATTTGTAAGGCATTGTTGCTTCTGGGGACAGAGATGTTAAGGGATAGTCAACAGTGAATAAGGGCAATCACATGACATGCATCAAACACATGCCAGTTATGAACAAAATGGAAGGGAGCAAGATCAAAATCATAAAATGCATCTGCATCAAGAAAACACCGGAGTAAGGCGTTTTAAAAACAGCAGGGGTCAACCAAAAACACGGCTGGAAAGTGTAGGAAAGTGTAGAGACGGGATAAAATCTTGGAGATCATCAAAAACCTGTCAAAATCTAAAGACGTGTGGAAAACGACACGTTTGGATACATTTGGGGGTTTCCTACAATGGGGATACCCCAAAATTAATGACTATTATATGACTATTTTGGTGATTAGTATTGAATTAGTCCTTTTTTTAATCTTACTTGTGCTAAACGTAGGGACTTTTCGGGAATGATCCATAATCAGTTCCATGGCTTGCTGGAAAATTGACGGTAACTAGATATCTATAGATACCCGGCCTGGTTTAAACGTTTACATAACTATGGAAAGATCCACCATTTTCAATGGGTAAATCCACTAGAAATGGGCCATGTGCAATAGCTATTTTGACATAACCAGAGGGTAATAGGCAATTGCTGGGAAAATCATATCAAATATGGAGGAATCAAACCATGGAACTGAGTTTTATCCCAGTGGAACATGGGGAAATCCAAACATGGAACATCCCATCGAGATCAAATCGAAACTCAAAGCTACGGAATGCTACGGATGTGGCTGAAACTTCTGGGACCTTTGAAACACATTCCCGGATGCTTACCCTCTGGTAATTTAACATAACTATGGAAAGATCCACCATTTAGTTCGTGAATTTCTCCATGAAACATGGTGGTGATTTTCCATAGTTATGTAAACGTTTACCAGAGGGTAACATATTCATGGGATATCCCCGAGTCATGTTCGTGGTTCCCATTGTCATGGGATATCCCCAAAAACCATGGTTCCTATTGTCATGACCACGTTTTTGGGGATATCCCTGATCCCCCTGTTGGTTATGAACATCATCCAACTGCGGGGCGGGAGTCAATTCCCACTCAGCCGCTAATATCAATTCTAATCAATTTCCCCAAATCATTGTAGTTCCCATTATTGACATATACATACTTGACAATTACGTGCCATTCATGTCAATTCCCAAATGCTTGGCGTATCTTGGCTTTGCTTAATGGTCACCCAAAGAAAAAACATAACATTCCAGCACGCCATAGGGAAAGGCTCAGCAACCCAGGTGTATCGGTATCAACCACAAATTGTGTCTGGAACATGTCATGTTGAATAAAAGGGGATAAAGTATGTTGGGGTTCAATGTTAGGTTTCGGGAGTGTTGAGGTTTACCATCCTGTAAGCTAACATAGATGTGGGAGAACAGCAGCAACAACAACAACAACAGCAACAACAGCAACAGCAACAGCAACAGCAACTGCAACTGCAACTGCAACTGCTACCACTACCACTACCACTACCACTACCACTACCACTACCACTACCACTACTACTACCACTACTACTACTACTACTACTACCACTACCACTACCACTACAACAACAACAACAACATTTGCAGATCCCTTTCCAAGGTTTTTCCCCAGTTTTTCCACATCCAGGTTAGTTTACCCCAGGGTAACCCGCCTTGCCAGTCCCCGACTCAGCCTCCTCCTGGAAATCAGGAAATGCTGGCCAGAAAATGAAGCTTCTACCAAGACAAGTTGTGATTTTCCAACCCCCCCCCAAAAAAAAAAAAGAAGTGAAATTCACTATTAACAATTGGAATTTCAATCCCCATCTTTAGCTTGAAACAATTGACCGAATGGATCTCAATTGGGGCGTTTATTGTTCAGTTTGTGGATTCCTTTCAACAAGGAATTCCAACCTTGCTGTAGGGAGGTAAATTGAAGGGCACCGCTGGGGAGATCTCAAGTGGATGAACATGACGACAATTGTTTCTCCAGCTATAATTTCCAGATCTTCTGTTGTCTTCACTCATGGTTTAAGAATTTTAACATTGCACGGTTAAATGACTTCAATTTCGGTAATTATTACTCTTTCACGATGCAAATAGGAACAGCAGCTGACCATCAATACTCATCAATAATTAATAATGGACCAACGGAGGCTTTTCCATTGCCACATCGACCCGGCACGGCGCGGACGACGTGACGTAATCGAACCAATGTGACATGAATGAATGGGACAATCATCGAACCAATGGATCTACCATCTGGTTATTGAAAATAGCCATGGAAAGATCCACCTTTTTTTATGGGTAAACCATCTATTTCTATGGGCCACTGTCCATGGCTATGTTAGTCAGTTAGTCATAACCAGAGGGTAAATTGTGAAAAAAATCCATTGCAACAGTGATGATCTGGTGGGATGGTTTCACATGATGAATCCATCGGATTTGGGAAATTTGGGGATGTGCCAAATTTTCAAACCACTTTTTTGGCTTCCCATAAATTTCATTACTCAATCATCATTATCCGGCCTATAAAAACCTTGCCATTTGCCAGGGATTAGCCTCATTTTCAGCCCGAGTCAGGCCGCAGACCCTAATGGTCACAATGGTCATGCTGGGTGCAGTGATGCCATCAGCTACGTAACACTCACAATACATACTGTCATTGATAACTAATTACATGTCTATACAATTATTATACCATATGACGGAGTCATATGTGTTTGCATGCATGTTTTCGTACATCCGCATGTGTGGTAATTGTATTTATATATATAATATTGCGTGTGTTTTGGGTGTTCGTGTTCAACAGTATTTTGAGAGAAATCCCAAGGTGAATTGGGATCAGCTGATGATCGAATGGCAAAAAGCCTCGAAAGCCTCGAATAAGGGAAGGTTGCTATGGAAATCCATGGCTTTCCCTAGAAAAGTATCTGCAAATGATGGATGTTTCCATGATGAAAAAGGCTGGATGGGCATTTGAGACCTCTAAAAACTATATGTATACTGTGTTCAAATAATCCTTTACTCGCTGGGTTCATGGGAAAGTCTGAATGGAACATTTTCCCCTGAAACACTTCTTGGATGGGCGAGGTCAGGGCCGCTACTTGTAACGATTGTATTCATTGACCTACCAAAGATCAAAAGCAAGGCTCCCCAAATATGACCAAAGCTTCTGACCAGCAACCAACCGCATTTTGCGGCTGACACCACCGATGGAAGTATGTGCATCAATGGTCATCAACAAGTCATCTGAGAGAAATATCGTGTGCATCCTATATCATATGCGTATGCAAATATACATACATAAAACACACACACATATATATATATATGTATATATATATATAATAATATTGAGCATTTCGGCTAGGGAGTGGTAGATGTTTGTTCATCTGTACAATGCAATCCGCGATGGGCTATGTGAGACACCCTTGACGTGTCATAAGGATCAGTGCGATGGATGGAAAGTGGTCCATACATGGATTCGTTAGCTCAGGATTCGTTACACGCAGAGAAAAAACATGGAAAAAAAACAGACATGAAACCAATATTGGACCAAAAGGAGCTGCTGAAGACATTACAGCTTGCTGATGTGCGAAATCTCAGAAGAGCAAATTCCTCGCT